ACATGACTGCCTGAGTCCTTCCATCCATTGCTGCCTTTTGTGGATGAATGCAGCCTGTGCAGCCCTGATGTGTCATGACAATTGGCAAGGGCTCCATGTTGGTGACCCCAAAACAGAAGACAGAAACCATGACCATCCCCATTCGGTTTCTGGCAGAGTTAGGGTGTCTTTTTGCTTGTTTCTCCAGGGAGCGAAATGCCTTTTAGCCCCACTGTGGACGACTTGAACAGTTGGTCTCCATTGCAAAGCCCCGAAGCGGAAATCCAGCGAGAAAAGGTCGTGCTCGGTTTGTGCCCTGTGACTTATGTCCGTCATGTTGAAGAGCGCCTCTAAGCCATGAATGGAGAACAAGAAAAGAGCACTCCACCCATCACAAAGGCGCACAACTCAACCCACAAAGCCGAAATCATCTCTTCAACCAGACTTAGGTCGACCTACTCCAAGCCCTCTCCGTCTAACAAACAGCTAGACGAAGTCCACCACTGCCGACTCATCTTGCTATTTGGCGTCCTCGGTGCTCATTGCACTTCATGCCTCAATACCGGAAGAAGACAAAAAAGTGTGAACAAGACCTCTCTCCCCGCCCTCCCCCCTCTGTCAATCAAGATCTGCTTCTTCGGCCCAAAAGGCCTCCAGACTCCGCACAACTCGGCTCCATCTCAGCCCCCCGTTGCCCCCTCCCCGCGCCCTCACAGCGGCGCCCAGCGTGCCCACCAGCGCCGCCCGCGATCCACGCCCCGGCGCTGGCTGCGGCCGCGTTTCCACGGCCAACGCGGCACACGCGGCCGGCGGCAGGGCGCCAGGCGCGAGAAGTGGTGCCGCCGGCAGCATGGGCCAAGGTCTGAGGGATAACACGGCCTCCACGATGTATTGGATTGCGTGCTTCTGTCTTGCTCAATGTCTGGCGAAAAGTTGTCATCTTTCCATGGGGAAAAAGGGTGCTTGGTGCAGGATCTGTGACTATGCAGTTGACTGCGCTCGTTCTGTTCTGAATTCGCACTGACTTGGTGGATGCGCGGTTTGGCGTGCAAGGAAGCAAGGCTTCCCCGACAGTCAGGGGTGCTTTTCGACAGAAGATTCAGAAAGAGTTTCGCAAATTGGACAACTTATTAGAGGCCAGGCGCTGCTCTGCAGTCATGTATCTTCTGCAAAAGGTGTTTCTGCACCAGGCACCATGCAGGATGCACAAGGCATAAATCACAATTCCATGTGGTGGCTCAAGGGTTCTATTCTGCTCCTGCTACCCCGGGTGTTTGTTGGATGGTTCCTTCAGATCGAGTCGCGAAACACTTCCACGGATGTCGACAGCTCTCTAAGCCAAAAGCTGCACAACTGGCAGCGATGTCCTAAATTTAAATCATGAATTTCTGAAAGAGTGGTCAACACCTTGCCGCACCGATGTTAGATGGCACAAGCACTACCCTCGGTGTGGGCCTTTTTTTTGGCAGGAAGGATGTAGCAGGCAGCCAAGGATTGAAAAATGCGCTCACAAAGATGACCTCCGAGTCCTGACTCGACTCGAATCGGAATGTGCCAACATGCGCAAGCTGCTTTGGAATAAACCAGCAATTCAATGGTTCTGACGCCATGCCGCGCGGGCCTCACCACATTTAAGCTATGTGCTCTGGACGATGGAACAAGCTAGAAAGCTTCGTCCAGCAAACCTGCCGGTTTTCCGAATGGTCTGTATCTCATTTTGGGACTTGGACAATGATCAGCAACTCATAATAGGCTCCACTCAAAGCCACATCAACGAAACAAAGCCGTTTCCCTCCATTCCCCTCTCAGAATATCTCAACTCTTGCCTTTCTCACTTCTTCTTCCTCTTCTTCTTCCTCTTCTTCTTCCTCTTCTTCTTCTTCTTCTCATCCCCTCCCTCCTTCTCCTTCTTCCTGCCCCGCCTCTTGCTTCACCCGCCGCGTCTTTTTCGCTCGAGGGCGAACGCAGCGCCGGGCCCAGCGCTGCAGCTGCGCCCAGCGCCCCACGAAGGCCCGGAGCCGCCTCGAACTGCAAACCTCTTCGAACAGAAGTGGAGGTGCTTGAGTGTCTGAAGACCTTAAAAACCAATGGGGTGTGTGTGTGAGGGTACCCTTTTTGAGAGTTGCTTGAAAGGGAACCAAAAGGAAACCTATTTGACACCCCACCGTCCAACCGCCGTCCCTGATCCATTTGGAAGTCTGGGCAGCATCCATGCTAGGGGAAAATCCACAAGGGCAGCCCAACTGCTTTCTGACCGTGTTTGCCTGCTGAAAGTGGGTCAATGAGCAATGCTACTGGTAGAGGCTAGTTTTGTACTCGTTGAATGGTTGTGAATTCGTGGCAACAGTTCAGCCATAGCAAACACCTCCACAAAAAGGTGAATTCTTGAACACAAACGATTTCTCGGTCAGCCTGGGAATCGCCTAGTGAGTCGACGCAGAGATGCAAAGCCTTGGACCTTCATATCCCCTCATATGGAGCTGGTCAAATCTCTGAGACCTCTATCAAATCTGACGGCTCACAGAACACATATGCAACTGCAGCATTCCGGCAGAGACGGGGGTTGTGTGTTTTGGATGACTGCGACTCAGGTTGAGTCCCAATGGTTCACCTCCTACCTCCGAACCAATCCAAGTGGTCGAACCCACGCTTCAGGGAATCGGAACGCCAAAAGGCCCCGAACCGCCCGGCACCGTCCAAGCCTCGCCAGAAAGCGCCGCAACGTCGGGCCCAGAGTGTCGAAGCTGAGGCTGTCCAGGAGCCGGCGCCCCACCAAACGCCCGGGCCGCCTGGGCGCGGGAGAATACAAAGCAGAAGCGTCTGCGTGGTTTCAAGACATATGGAATGGTCGACACACTTTGACACTTGCATGTTGTGGAGCAGCTACATCCCAACCAAGCGCCACGCCAAGTAGGATCAACAGCCCAGTCCTGTGTTGGTTTTGTCTAGCACGCAACGCAACATGGTATTTTGAAGCCAGGAACACATTTTGGAGCATCGAATCGCTTGGACCAGTGCAGGGTGTTACTGGCCAGCTCAGATTCATCACAGGCCTGTTTCTACGGCAAAACAGCAAGGACCCCGGCGCACACCGGACATGTCATCAGTGAAAAGACAAGGCGTATGTCACTCCGAACCAAAAGGCAGTTTGCAGATGTGTGAGGAGACTGTTACAGGCATGTAAAGCTTGGAGTGCAAAGCACAGCAAGCTGAGTCAATAACCTCAATCCCAGCTTGAGTCTGCAGCACGAATTGCCCAGGTCAAAAGGTTCAGCGCGCTGATACGACACAGGCGTTGCACATCAGGTTCGCAGGAACTCCAGATGCAAACGGCCAGGGAGGAGCATGCCACACAAGAACACCGCATGGCCTCAAGAGACCTTCAAAGCGTCAGGTGTCCGGGGCTTTTGGCGCACCGCGCCTCAGCACCGACTCCTCGAAGCTCAGCTCCTGGCGCGCGTCTTGGCCCACAGCAATTCTTGCCAGCCCCATTCGGCCAATTCGGGGCGCCTGACGCAAACTGCAGGACCCAAAACACAGACACGAAGCCGACCTCTGAGCCCCTCATCAACGCATTGAACCCGGATTTGTCTCCACCGTGATCCACAACGACGGATTTATTCCTTCGCACTCGCATTTCGCTGATTTTGATTTGGTGATCTTCAAGCGGTTCTGGCAAAGGCTTCATGAAACTTTGCATTGACTAGCCACCCCTAGTCTAGGTCAACGGGCAAGCGTGGCATGAGAGCTGGCCACGATAGAAGAACACCAGGGTCATCAATCCGTTGTGCTCCGTCAAGATCAAAAAGACTTGAGGGGTCGTCTGCCGTCATAGTTGGAGTCAAAACCACCATGCCAACTCCAAAGCAGCCACATCCAAAATGTTTTATGATAGCCTGTCGTATTTTTGTGCTTGGGCACCTCCTTACGCGACCTTACGCAATGCATGTGTTGGCTTACGCGACACATGGGCTTCAAGTACACTTTGTGCAACCCCTACGCCTGAAACACCACAAGCCATTAGTGGAAAGGTGGTTTATGCAATGGCGGTTCCCTTTGTCAGGACGCGAGGTACCCTTTGGCAGCTCAACCTTAACTGTTCAGTGCAAGTGTGGTGCACAAAGTACACCAGCAGGCAAAGGCTACTACTCTGAAACGTAGCCAGGTCTTGCGCGCATCTTGGGAGCTGCGCAGACCACAACCTGTTCTCCAATCTGCTCGACAACATGCTGTCTCGACAGGCTAGTCTAATCAAAGCACGGCTTGGACATGAACAGATTTGTCTGAACGGAAGAGCTTGCACGCGATGCTCATGCAGCCCGTGTCCTCAACATCTGCTTACGCCGCCTTAGACCTTCCGCTTTTGCTTATGCAACGGGTCGGTATGACACAGCCCTTGTTACGCAAAGGAGCTCCTATCCTAGGCCAGTAGGCGAGGCTCCTCAGAGACAGAGCCTCCAGAGCAGTCAGGTTTCCGAGCAGTTGACATATAATTGGTCAAGCCAGAGGAGAAGTCCAGGTGCAGACCCGAAACCCAAACCATCACACGAATCTTACCAGCCAATCAAAGTTGAAAACGGGCAACGGGAAACGGCTCTCGGCTCTCCTGCACCCATCGGCAGCTCCCGGCCAGCGCCCTCCGCCACACCTGCAGCCGCTGCCTGCACGCGAAAGGCGAGCGCGAGTTGGAGCTAAGGCAGAGTACATGAAAAGAACCTTCTCACAAACAAAAAGCAAGCAAACAGCGATGCAAGCAATGAAACAAAGCAACCGTCAAGCTCCAATCAAGAAAACACTCACAGAAAACACCCGCCCTTGCCTTCCAGCGGCGGAAATCCGAGATAAGCGAAGCGAGCCAACACGTCATCCAAACCGACTGGAGATCTGTCATGCAGAAACTGACCTGGGCTGCCCTCAGATCCCTTGCTGAAGGCAGCAAAATTTTAGTGGGTTTAGTGGAACCACTAAACGCCGAAAAGCTTTTTAAAAAAAATGGCCCGATGGCTGGGAGCCAAGAGACCTATTGAGTCTGAGGTCTATGTCCGAGCGGCCCAAGAACTGGAAGCCAGCCTGGGTCTGCTCCGAACAAACCCCATGCCAAATGCGTCACAACCAAAACCCGGTATCAGAATGGTCTACCCAGAGCCATGCAAAGAAATAAGAAGGCGGAAATCCGCAGCTATTTATGGCAAGGGGATTGTCCCTTAACCTTCATTTATGCGGGTTTTGCTTGCGGCTCAAATGTCCAAATGGCACCACGACCGCAGCCAACGTCTGAAATCGACGGTAGCAGCAGAGTCCTTGAGAGTCGGATCACTGCATGGCCCACTGACCGACCAATCACCAAGCGAGTAAAATCTGCGACTTCGATGTGGCTCTCTAGATGTTCTGTGTGCGCCCTTCGCGTACGCGGGGATGTTCCTTGCAGGACAACCCGCTCAAAAGGGCACGAGCCTTCACAACTGCAGCCTTGGTGACCCTGAGGGCCAAGTTGTCTGTGAAATGCCAAAGAAAAAGAAGGTAACATGGCAATGTGGGAATTTCCAGCTACTAGTTTGAGGCACAACCCTTGAGATCTTCTACATTGCAACACCTGGCTGTGGGTCAAAAAATATGTGCCCAAAATGGCTTGCCCTGGTACTGGAAACATCCACCTGGGAAACCAATCTAACATCAAGCCCTCCTCCCAGCCCCCGCAGCCACGAGCCTGTGCTCGAGGGAACCCCCTCGTGCGGCGACATCATCTGAAGACAGGGAGACCCGTTTCACGAGAGAGATGGAGATACGGCCAAGCATCCGCAAGAGGTGCTGAAGGAGTCGTGCTCCAATCTCTAGTTGGAATAGTTTATGGTTAAGACTAGGACGGTATCGGATCCGCTTCGATCCCCTAACTTTCGTTCTTGATCAATGAAAACATCCTTGGCAAATGCTTTCGCAGTGGAAACTGGCTGGGAAGAGCTGGAGTCATCCTCACCCCTCATCCCCTTGCAAGACGATGGTTGAGGCAAGATGGAACTGACACGCTCGTACATTCCGATCAGCCACGGTCAATATCTGTTGTGTGCCATGACATTCTCTAGACTTGGGTGAGAAACACCGGGGTTAGATGCTGGGGTTAGAAGCTCGTGCTCGACTTGCTTCGATCGAATGAGAAAACCGACAAGCCTAGTGGACATAGCGCAGGTCACTCGAAAGTTGTGCGGGTGTGGTTCCTGTTTGGACACATCCCGAACAACAGCCCTGAAATGCGCATGGATTTGGGGCGTCTGCTGGTGCAGGGCATGTAAACAAGACCTTGGAGGAAGCTGGAATTGAAGAGAGGGGGAGTACTCACCATAAGTTGTGACAAGTCTCCCGTCAGCTTCCATAGTTCCCATGTTTTGGATGTTCCCTGATCGCTCCAGCCTTGGAAGCAACGGTCATTGTCCACAGCAATGAGGAGGCTTCCCACTGCATGGTGGGAATGGGCCTGAGATCCGAGCCTGGTGACACCGCAACCGTCTCGGGTGGTTCACGATAATCTCACTGGCTAGGATTTAAATTTGTGACGTGCAAGTGGATCCGTTTGTTGGAAATGAGCTCAAATGATGTTTTTGGAGGCAGCGCACCTGGGACAGCCTCGCGCTATCCGACAGGCTTCACTCAAAAGCGGAAAGCACCTGCAATGTGGTCCTCAAAGGCATGCTTCCTCTACTGACAGATGTGGGCTCGTCGAATTTGGCTGCACTCTCCTGCGAATTCCTATCGACGCCTAACATCAAACCAACCTGGGTCTCTGATCTATACAAGGAGCACGTGAAAACAAGCCAGAAAATCTAAAAAGCCAAAAAACGTTCGACGTGGGAATACGTCCACAATCTGTCATGGCACATGGACCCCGAGCCTCCATGCACCAAACAAACGTTGCCCTCGCAGCCTTTCCTTTTGTCACAGGTTCACAATTTCAACAACCTCCTCAAGATGGCTGTCAACTAACTAATGTCTAGATGTATAACTGTTATTTCGGCGGACGACTTGTATGGCTATTCACTGGGTCCACGGAAACAAAAGGATGAAATCCTCTGCCAAACGGCGCTGCGGGCGCAATTGCCCAGGAAGTTCAGCACCAGGTAAGCGCCCAGGTTTCCAAAGCGGAGATCGGCCTCGGAAGCAAAACGGGCTACACCGAACTCTCTCGTGGATGGCGTATCCTGGGAGTCTCAGCCAAGGCCAGTGGGAGCACTTGTATCTGGATGCAACCTTGCTCATAGGGGATTGGGAGTAGTTTGCTTCCACTACTGACTGGATGTCTGGAAGCCTCAGTCAAGCCCATCTCCGTCTTTTGGAGTTGTGAGTTGTGACCTTGCGCCATCCTCTCACTGACTCGCCTCTGCTCAAATCAGACTTACAACTTGAGAGAGGGGTGGACGAAAGCTAGCAACACGCGCGCAGCTTTTGCCGCCGTAAAAGAACGGCAGCAGTCCGCCACGTGATAGCAGCATAAAATGAGCCCGGACAAAACCTCGTTTTCCCTGCGCGGTTTAAGGTGCCATGGAAGCCAGAATGGCAAGCCAGAAACGGAAGGCCGAGGCGGTCGCTGAGATGGAAGGTGAGGAAGTGGAGCAAGATGAAATGATCTCCAAGTGCCCGGGCAATGCGGACGGCCAACGGTAAGCACTAACAGCCTGGTGATGGACCAGAGCATCTACACGCAGGTCAGGCTCTACGCTCAAGTGAAAGGCAGTGATAGTGGCATGAAGGCCGAGCCCGCGCAAGAGCAGCAGCATGAAGGTCAAGCTCCGGGCTGGAAGTGGTCCGGCAACCAGACGACGAGTTGAAGTCCCGACAAGAACTGCAGTCTCCAACCCCGACAGCAAACCTGGTCACACCCCGACAACAACCTGTCTCCCGACAAGACACGCGCCCCCCCGACCGAAACGCAATCAAGAAACGTTTCAGCACCACACAAGGGCCGAACAGCATGCGCGTGGTGTGGTGCTCTGCGTGCTCGGTTCAGTGCTGTTCCTGGCGCCTGGTGTAGCTGGTGTAGTCGTGTCTCGGTGTAGCGATGCGCCATGTGTAGTCCTGTTCCAAGTGCGCTGTTCCAGGTGCTTGATGTAGTCCAGTGTTCTGGGTGCTTGTGCAGTGCCGGGGTCTTTGTTGTTGATATACCGCTGTTCCGGGTGTGCTGTTCCGGGCGCCTGGCGCATGCTGTCCCGGAACTTGGTGCCGTGCTGTTCCGGGCGCCTTGTAGCGCGGTTCTGGGCGCCTGGTGTAGGGTGCCTTGCAGTGCGGTTCCGGGTGCTTGGTGTCTTGTTCCTGCTGGGTTCCGGGCTCGGCGCAGCGTTGTTCCGGGTGTGTTTGGTGCAGCGCTGTTCTGGGCGTCAGTGCTGGTAGCGCTGTCTGGGTAGCGCTGCGGGCGCATGGTGTAGTTCCGCGGCTTGGTGTAGTGTGGCCGTGGCGCTTGTCCGGGTGCTTGGTGAAGTGCGGTTCCTGGTGTTCCGGCTTGGTGTAGGGGGCTAGTGTAGTGCTGCTGCTCTGTTTGCTTGGTGCCGGGTGCCTGGTGTAGTGGTATTCAGGGTGCTTGGCGCAGTGCTGCTCCGGCGCCTGGCGTAGTGCTGCGGGTGTGCTGTTCTGGGTGCTTGGTGTAGTGGCTTAGTATAGCGCTTGTAGTGCTGTTTCGCGGTGTCGCGCTGCTCCGCGCAGGCTGCTTTGGGTGTTCCAGGTGCTTGGTGTAGCGCTGTTCCGGGTGCCTGGTCATAGTCCTGTTCCGGGTGCTTGGTGTCGTGCTGTTCCGGGTGCTTGGTACTGCTATTGCTCGTGCTGTTCCGGGTGTTTGGTGCAGCGCTGTTCCGCCTGGTGTGGCGCTGTTCCGGCGCTTGGCGTAGCGCTGTTCCCAGTGTCGGGTGTCGGGTGTGGCGTGCTGTGACCGGTGCTCGCACTGCACCAAGCACCCGGAACAGCACTACACCCACAGCACACCATAGCACTACACCAGGCAGCCGGAACCAGCAAGCACTTGGAACAGCACACCCGGAACAGCATGAACCCGGAAAAGCACTACAACACCCAAAACATCACAACATCCCAAGCTCTGGGAACAGCCCGAAACAGCACTGCAAGCACCCCGACAGCACAACACCAACAATCCCGGAACTGCACAGAACAGCACCACACAGCACCCGGAACAAGCGCACCACCACCCTGCAACGGCAATAACGCAAGGTGCACCACAGCACTACACCAAGCACCCAGAACACCAAGGCAGCCAAACACCAGCACAGGCGCGTGGAACAGCCCCGGAACAGCACTGCTGAGCAGCACTCCAGGCACCAGCCGGCACCAAGAGCACTACACCAGGCACCTGGAACAGCATCGGAACCGCAAGCACCAACCAAAACCCAGAAATGGGCACCCCAGAGCAGCACTACCCAAACCACTACGCCAAGCACCCCTACACAAGGCACCCGGAACAGCACTTCACAAGCACCCCACACCAAGCACCCGCAACTTCCGGCTGCCTTGCCTGGCGCCTGTTCCGGGTCTGTTCGGGTGCTTGGTGTAGCGCTGTTCGCGCAGCGCTGTTCTGGGTGTTCCGGTGTTCCGGGTTCTTGGTGTATGGGTGCTTGGCTGTGCTGTTCTGGGTGCTCGGTGTAGCGCTTCTCCAGGTGCCTGGCGTAGTGCTCTTCCGGCCCGGAACAGCACTACCAAGCACCCGTCGTGCACGCGGAACAGGAACAGCACTACACCAAGCAGCACGATACCAAGCAGCACAGCACGATACCAAGCACCTGGAACGGCACTACACCAAGCACCCGCCGGAACAGCACTACACCACTACACAACGCCCAGGCCCACATGGCGCAGAGCGCACACCAAGTTCTTCAAGGCGACGCCACTTCCCAAGTCCGGTCTGACAGCACCCACTGCGCGTCTTCCACCGTCAGCACGATGAGCCTAAGGATGTGCCTTGGGCGGGCAATGGTGCGTCGCACGCGCGCGCCCCACTTAGGCTCTTCGGGCCGTAAGTGCGGAAGGCCCGGAACGAATGGCACAGGTATGAGCGAGGCTGCTCAAGTTCTCTCAAACACACCCACACACACTCACACATGTGCCCACCACCTTGGCAAACTGCAATAAGAACCTGCACACAACGTGAAAGCAGCTGTTGGCTCTGCTGCAACTGAAACTGCTGTGTGCGAGACAAATTTGGCAGCCCCTGCGATATTCAACGGTTCGCAAAGGAGCCGGACCCCCTGGGAGCAAACGCGGTCTACTGTAGTCCTTGCAAGGTGGACCTGCTGCCGCGAAAGCAACTCCACCGGAACAAGCAGCTCGACGGATCAAGTGACACACATACCGTGAAGGAGCCTTTGCAGCTTCCACTGCAGCGCCGGCGCAGCGCATATCGCGGTGAGGTGACTGGGCCGCCACCTGCCAAGACTTGCGCCCGCTTGAGGCGGCGCCAATTCTCCGGAGCCGTCGAGCGCTCTCTCAACGGCAGCGTTGCCAGTCCACGCTTGGCAGCCAGCGCCGTCAGCACCCTCTTGTTGCTGAAGGTGGAGGGAGGTGTCTGAGAAGCGCGGGGGGTGCTCAGGAAATAATCGTTGCCAAGCATACCATCCTCATTAGCTCCCAAGGCACGCCACAGCTGCATCAAGGACAATGGCGTGCCCGAGAGATAGATGAAACTGCCACTCAGCCCAAGCCAAGTAGCATCGTGGGCAATAGACGTTGTGGTCGCGCCACGCTTTCTCCCCGAACATGCCGCTGTGCATGGAGGGCGTGTTCGGCAAATACCTACCGTGGACCAAGCTGGCGCAGCATGCACGCATGCTGCGGAGCACGGGTTCTGCTTGCTGATGATCCACATGAAAAGGTTCTTGGGAGCTTTCGGCCCTTCAAAGGCAACCTGCAGCATAGGGCATGGCGAATCAGTCACGGCCATGGCCAACACAAGAGGCCTGCCCGAGCACAGGACTACACGAAGCACAGTAAGTACCCGCACACCAGAGACCCAGAACACACACCAGGCACCACGGTGCCCGGAACACCACTACACCAGGCACCGGGAACAGCACGATGCCAGGCCCGGAAGAGCACACACCAGACACCCGGATACACCAGCCACCGGAATGCTGTTAAGTCTAAACCACGTCGCATGTCAGGGGAGGGGACGGAGGCAGGGCTTGAGTGAGCGCAACTGGGTTTGCAAGCGCGCGTGTGCATAAAAGTGGCGGCGCCAGCGCGAATGTTCAAGCGCGGGCAAATGTCTTTGCAAGTGCGCGCGCGTGTATGAAACGAGCGTTGCCCGCGCCCATAGCTGGCACTTGAGTTGCGGACGAAAAAAGCTAGCGGGCGCAAAGAAGGAAGTGCGTGGACAAAAGGCAACATGAGCCGTGCCAGGACAAGCGTTGGAAGGCGCCGGCGCAGGTGGCAGCGCAAGCGGGGGGACTGCGCGCAAAATGTGCGTGCAACCACCCTCTAGCAGGAGCGTGCGTGTGTGTGTGTGTGTGGGTAAGACAGGGCACAGGCCGCAGGGCACAGGTGGCAGGGCGCCAGCGCAAACAAGCAAGCGCGTCCAGCTGCCTACGCAAGCGCGCGCAGATTCAAGGCGACAGGGTGGATTCGAGCCTGGAAGGGGGGGGGGAGGGTGGGGGGGAGGGAGGGAGGGGGGTGGTGTTGATGCAATTGCATGTGTGTAATGTGGTGCATCCATCCGGAACACTTGCAAAGCAACTGGGAACTCAAGCTTGCTAACGCTAGCTTTCGTGATCGGCCCCAATGATGAAGCCAAAGCAAGATTGTACAGCCTGTCAGTCAGCAAGATTCATTGAGGTGGTCACCATGTTTGGCTTCCAGATTCCATACAGCTGTCTGTGTGAAAACGCTTCGCAAATGCTAAGCAGCCTGGATAATTGGGAGCCCGGCCACATCCTCATTCTCTGCGGCCCGGACCGCCTGCCGAACCATGCAAAAAAACTGGGGTAACAGCGCGCAACTGACCCTCTGACAACCCGAGTCTAGGTCGAAAAAGTCAACCAACCGGCAAATACACGCCGTCCCAATTGCTTGTGCTTGTGGAACCTCCTCGTGGATGGTGTTTGCTTTTGTTTGCCATGTGGACGGCCGTGAGGCAGCTACAAGTACCTTCCTTGTATTCCCTCATTCTAGCATCTCCCTCTCAATCGTAAACAACAGTGATCCTTTGTGGCTAACTCTGACAGGTGAGCCGGTGACTCTGTGCATGCGCTGCTAGTTCTGGGGAAATCGCAGAAGCAAGGAAGAACGACATCACCAAAGCCTCACACCCATCTTGTTCTACGCATTTCCCTTGTCGGCGGATCCCATTCTCATGATCCGTACTTGTGCACGGTGGGAAAGCCGTGACACGTATATACAATTGCATTGGATAGCAAATAAAATCGGCCTTAGCCTTGCTTGAGCATGAATCAGAAGAAATACGAAAAGAAGAAAAACAAAGAAAAACATCATACGTTCCTTGTGCTCCCTGTGCAGGTGGGCCACTTTGGCAGCTTCAAGAATGTTGAGTGTCATCCTTCCGCAGACGGACTGCAGGAAGTGCAGATTGGGGTGCGCAGGGCACGTGAACAGGCTGCCGAACGCATATCGCAAGATTGGCCATCTGACTGAATTGCAAATCATACCATCACGAGCATGTGTGTGTGTGTTGTGTCATACTCGCAAGGCCCACAAGGGCGCACTGGCTAAGGATACAGCATGAGCAGAGCGCCATGGCCAATCAACCTCATGCGACAATGCAAGCACACAAGCAACTCCCAAGCTCTTTGCTCATTTGCATGATCTTGGCTGGCCATCCTCCCACGAACTCCCACTAAACCGAAACTGCCTGGCTCATCCATCCCCCACGAAGCCACCTCTGAGCGCTGGCGATGCTTCCCTGCCCTCCCACTCGGCCTCTGCCAGCCACAATCCCGAGCGCCAAGCCCAGTGTGAAAGCTCCTGAGCCAGGTGGTCAGGCTGGGTCATAAGGCGAAATGGAAAGTGAACGTGAAGGTCTTGATGCTCTTTGACTATCGGTATCTCCCAGATATAAGCAGCTGACTCTGCAAAGATATTCATGGCAATTCAGTTCCTGGAAGGATTTGGAGCACATGGTGTTATATGAACTGGATGGAAGGGAGAAAACCGTTTCATCGAAAAATCCTTTGTCTTGGAGAATGACCCGCAAAGTCATATGTTTGCTCTGATGGAATTCCTAGTGTCCACACGCGGGGTGGGACTTGCCAAAGCGCAAATGTCGTGTGCAGGGGTGTAGTCCTGGGGTTATCCCCCAGCTGGAAGACAATACCCCTCGCTACACGCCAACTGTGTGTGTGCGGATTGTCCAGTCAGCCATTGCGGGCGGGTACCGGACTCCAGGCAATTCTCCACACAGCCAGCGCAAAAGGGAAACCATTGCGGTTGCCACGTTACGCTAGCTTCCGAAATGCCGCTATTCAACTGGAGCACTTTACCTTTGCAACCCTTGAAACGCTCACCTGGGTATGGGTCAAAACCAAAAACCACCCCAACAAACCGCAGATTGTTTAGTCCAAGTTGTCTATTTCCCAGGCTTCCAGTTTGGGTCAACCACCAAAAAAAAACGCAAATTTTCGTCCCAGGCGGCGATTTTGGGGCTGTCCCACTTTGGACCACGCGCCTGGACGCCCTGCACCGCCAGCACGGCGGCGGCGAAGAAGCCCACGCTCCGCCGCCCGGCCTGCAAGGCGTGGGCGCCGGGCACGGGCGCCGAGTTTTGAGGCGAAGCGCCGAAAAAGTCGGAAGGAGCTTCAGATGGCATGCCGCTCAAGAGTCATGCGCTTTTCAGGATGTGAAGGCCCGTCGCAGGCCACGTAGTGGCATCAGGGCTGGGAAATGCGGCTTGATTGAGAGGGTATCCTGGGTATCCCACGTCTCTCTCTCTAGCAGAGGAAAGGCAAGGCAGGAATCTGGCGAAAGTGAGGCTGAACACGCCAGACAGAGTACAAACACATCAAAAGCTCAAGGCATTCTGCTGGAGGGCAAGCCATCTTGCCTAAGGCAATGCCATGTAGCGTCCCTGTAGGACTGTCAAGCTCCATTCCGAAGGCTCGCACTTCGGCGGAAGCGCCGGGTCATGCCGTTGGTGCATGCCAGTGCGGTTGCCTTAGGTCATCCAAACTGCGAGTGTGATCTGTGGCTCAGCTGATGGCTCACGGCTGCCATCCCAGGCCGAGCCTTGAAGCCCGGGGCGCATCGTGGCACCCACTTGGCCTAAGCGCCCAGAAACCTCCATGGCCTTCCTCGTAACCGCCACGGCAACCAGGCGGTTTGCCCTACGAAGCAAAACCGCACGATGTTTTTTGGATCGCTTCGAAGGCGGAACGGTTTCATTGGCCAAAAGATGACAATCTCTGAAGAAGTCTCGGCGACATCCACACATCAAGTTGCAAGTTTCAAGTTCGCTCCGAAAACGGGAAACCGAGCGACAGGCGCTCCCTTTTCTGGGTGCCCGGACCGGCTTGTGCTCCCGCCAGCGCCACCCTATGCTCGGCACTGAGGCAAACAGCCGCAGCGTGGAGTCCAAGCGGAACAGCAGCCTCCGGACGAAGCGCACCGGCGTGTGTCTCTTCTTGGAGAGTACCCCCTTTAAAAGGGAACCAAAAGGGAAACCCGCCATTTTGCGGGGTCCCCTTTAAAAGAACGCACCGAAAGATGGACAATTGGGTGAAAGATGGCACCTGATCTGCTCCATGAATTTTCTTTTGGCCGCGGACCAGAAGGTATTTTAGGAAAAGAACGTGAGCAGCGTAGAGTATCCGCTAAGAACTGTAAGGGAGCCCAGGGCTTCTCACCAACCCTTGGGTTCTCTAGGATTCAAAAAACGAATAAGTGCAACTTCATGTGTGTGTGTGTGTGTGCGTGTGTGTTGTGCTGTGCTGTGTTGTGTTGCGTTGTGTTGCGTTGCGTGTTTTGTCGTCTTGTGTCGTGTGTAAGAGAGAGAGAGAGAGAGAATGCAGAGAGAGAGAGAGAGAATGCAGAGAGAATGCAGCCCCATGTAGAAAGAGAGATTCCCTTATAACAGACGTGAGGAGCAAAAAAAAAACCTTGTGATCCCCACACACTTCTGGTTTTGGGTGAAAGCCCCCGGTGATCCCACGCAACCCCTGGGTTTCCTTTCGGCTTTTTTCTCTCTTCGATTCGCGGCGCCCGACTCGGGCTGCGGCAGCTCGCCGTGGAGCCGCTCGTCGTCGAAGCGCTGGGCCGCACAGAGGCGCCCGGCCGGGCGGGGGCCGTAGGCCTGAGGCATCGGGGGCGGACGCGGGGTGTATCGCATAAGGTCGGAGTCGGAAGAGGGGGGGGAGAAACTGAGATGGAAAGGGCGAGTAGAATAAGCAAAGGGCCTTGTTCAGGTTGAGTGTCCTGCAAGTGTTCGCAGATTGTTCAGACCATCTGGCATCTTGCTCTTCTTTGGGTCGAGGTTTTCCACAAGATGAAAAGCCTCGCCTGTTCAAATGCTGCAGGCCCGTGTGGCTTCGGCAAGGGAAACACTCTGCTTTCCTCATGTCAGACTCGGGATGGTGAAGTCACCCGTGCGCCCTCACGAGTAGCTGCTGCATGTCGTCTGAGCATGGCTAGGGGGTGAGAGGTGGGGGTAGTGTCCGATTTCTCCCTCTTCCTTCTTCTTCTTCCCTTTCTTGCTGTTTTTTCTCTTCCACTTGCTTGTTTGTCACAGTTTGTTCGCATCTGCTTTTCTCTCTGTTTGATGGTGATCTTGAGAACATGTTTGAAAAGACTCGATTTGCGCCACTTGGAAGATAGAAGTTCAAGAGAAGCTGCGCCTGCATTACAGGCTTTACAGGACGGCTCGATGGGAGGAGTGGCAGCTTGTTGAAGCGCGGCCCGCTTCGCGCCTTCCATGCCACTGCCACAGAGTGAGAAAGCGAGAAAGCAAGAAAGGCTTTGAAGGTGGCCAAGGGGCAAAGCGGAGGTTGCGGGGACGCGCATGCGAGCTATCCAGCTTGTCCCTTTTCTGTCTCATCTTGTGCTGAACGCATGCCCGTGAAGGAGCGGAAAGGCTAACCCGGACGTCATGTTGGTTCTTGAGGTTGTATCCCTTTCACAAGCAAATAAATCAGTTTGATCATGAGCTTTGATCACTCTATCGGCCTTCGGACCCCCACGCCCGCGCTGCGCCTTGGCCATGAAATGAGGCAGCCCAGGCGCGTCGACAGCCTGGGAGCGCGTGGCTCGACCAAAGACTCAAGCCGCTTGGCCGGATCAAACTGAGCCAAAGCAGTTGATTTACCGAGGTTTTTCGATTCTTCTCTGCTCCAAGCTGTTTTTGGGCACCGATTCAGAAGCCCGAAACCCGGCACAGGCAGGCCGACTGAACACTGGACCCGGAGTTGCGATGCTGCCCCTTGCGGCTCACACCCATTGATGGTAAGTTGAAAAGGATCTTTGGCTGGGGAAACCTGTAAGTCTTAGAAGGCACCCTTGAAAAGAACCTTCACTGTGAATAGGCTCTTCACCTTCTGGTTGCCTTCTCAAGGTCAAGTACTTCAGCACCACAGAACTGGAACTGGCAAATACGGAACAAGGACTTCCCGGCGCAGAATGAACCGGCCTTTGTGGGCGGCTGGCTTGTCGCCCTTGAAAATCCCAAAGGCGCCTGCGCCCAGAATCGCAGCCCGCAGCTGCAATTGCCCCCAGCGCTGTGCCTGTTGAAAGACGGTGAACTCTCTCTGAAGACAATGCCAAGCGGCACAAGATGCGAGGTTGATCCGCAGACTCTAATCCCAAGTTTGACGGCTGCCAGTCTCTGTTGAACAATCTTCCTTTGTTGTAGTGAAGAATTGGATATTGAAAGTCCATCTTAACAAGCCAGACCATCAAGATAGCCGGAGCTATGGCTCATGGAAACAAACAGGCTTGTATCTTCTGAAAGATCAGCTGTCGTGGAGGGTGCATCTCGGAGGATCACCACATAGACCCAGCTGACACTATGGGTCTTAGATCATGCCTTCCAAATGTCAGAGTGGTCCAAAGCAAATACATAATGTAGCCTTCCCCGCGTCCCCCTCATGCATGGTGCAGGGCGGGACCCGGAACCCTTTCACTTGCTACAGCTCACCTCACGTTCTGAGGTGGACCCTTGTCAAGAACTGAGCAGATATGTTTGATCTCCGCAATGAAAGCTATCCGACCGTAATCTGTGAGGATCTGCTTGCGAAACACTTGGTTTTTTTTCCGAGTGTTCTGTCGCAAAACACAAGTCTGTCCTCGATTGTTGCAGTTTGGACTGAGCTCTTTGCAACTCTGAAGCTGACAAAATCGGGGAATAGAATTGAACCAGCCATCAATGCAAGGCGAGCGCACCTGGTCTTGGTTGCATAAGGAACCACTCAATCAAACTGGTCTGAACACTGTAAGCAAAGTAGCCGAAGAGCAAGAGATTGCTAGAGCTGCCAGTGTAGATCAGAATGTCAATGTCACCCCCACGCGCCCCTTCATTTTCGGCCGCCCCACAGGCTGATGCGTTGACATCTGGGCTGCATTGGAAAACGTGGGGTACAATGGGGGAGCATCTCTGCACTCCTTGAGCCATCCTGCACCTCCACGATGCGAAAGCAATGATTCGAATAATGCAGCCCATCACGTGCCAATGAACAAAATGATAAGATGCTGAGCCGAAGCTCAAAAGCTGTACAGAAAGGACCTTGCTTGCTCTGGGGTCCGCAAGCGCAGCTCATTTCTGGATGTCTGCATTCTTCAGACCACAAAGTCCACCATGCCCCGGCTGGATCGACGCTCATGCTGCGCCCAGAAAGACTCTTGAGCTGCTTGCGCGCAGGATTTCATGCCCACCAACGCCTGGGGCGCCCTTGGCGTGCCCGGGTTCGAGCACGCTTCGTGGCTCAGCAGCGAGGGAAGCGCGAGGCCAAGCGCCCGTGCCACAGGCGGGGCGCAGCGACTCTCCTGGCGAGCCCGCCGTGCCAGCACGGCATCCCGCGCCGCAGCCGCGGATTTGGCCTCTGGGCTGCTTGGGACTGGCTTGGATGCGCTGAATGGGCCGGGCTGGAAGGTCAAGTTCTGCGCCAACCTGCCGAAGCCATTCCCCGACAAGGCTGGCAATGACTCGTGAACGGCTGGCACCTTCGGAACCACTTGCCTCTCCTCAGGGAAGAAGCTGAATGCGCGGCCTGCAGTTGGGCTCAGGCTAGGGCTCAACGGGGTCTTTGGCGTGCGCAAGGTCTTGGGTGTGGCCGCGCCCGGCGACACGTGGCTGAAGCTTCTGGAGGCCTGTGCCAAAAAGCGCAAAGAGACCGCCATGGCAGTTCAAGAACGTCACCGGAGCGAGATCTTCCTATCCTAAAGCCCAGAGCGTGAGACCCGTTTGAATAAAAATATTGCTCTTTTTCAAGAAGCTCATGCCACAAACCCTGCCCAGGTAATCAGATAGTGTGAAGCGGCCCGAAATTCATGCCGCGATGTTGCAATGTGTTCCAAGGAGTTGCCACATCCACAGAGTTGCGCTTGAAAATGCTGTTCCCGGCAACCGTGCAACGGCCACGCCGCCGTGCAAAGCGGAAGCACGACTCCTTCCTTGGGCTCCCGGCCGGTGAAGCTTCCAGGTGCCGGGCATGGCCTCCACAGCGACCTGCAGACAGCGAACTCGGAAAACTGCACGGGACCTTCCCTCATTCCCTACTGAGCACCAAGCAAAGGTAGACATGGCATGCTTTGCGAGGACAAGTCATACAACTCCCGTACCATCTGAGCTCAACACCTGACTCGCGCTTCAGGTCAGCCCCATACATTCTTCATGCGTGGATCCGTATAGGCATAAGCCTCGGGCATGAGATGCCTAGATTCCTGGTGAACAAGCAAGCGTCACCGCGTCAATCTCAACTTTTTTCTCTTGCTTTCACGGCGCTTTTCTGCAAATCGATGGGCCGGCGGCCGGAAACACATCTCCCGGCTGTGGGTTTTGGCTCTACGCACCCAGCCACTTCCCAAGCCAGGCGAAGCAGCTGGGCGCTTCCTCCGGCGGCTTCAGCGCCAAGGCCTCGATGGCCGCGGCCGCGCCCGCGGCCCCGTCCTCCCGCCGCATGCGGGCGCCCAGCTCGGCGCAGGCGTCGGCACAGCTCAGCGCGCGCTCCAGGGCCACCTGAGGGTTGAGCCCAGTGGACTTCATACTGTGGATGGACAAAATCCATTTCGCACCACTCAAGAAACCCTGGAATGAATGATTCCCCTGTAAATACCAACCAACAATGGCTTCCCATGGTTTCAAAGTGGTGCAGGATTTCGTTCATCCACAGTAAGGGGTGGTGTTTTTGGCCCCTAAGTGGTCTGATTCCACATTTCACCCAGAATCGAACATCGCCCCCATTCATAAACTGGGGTTTCGTTCATATGGGATCAATCCGCAGACCCATGCTTCAAGAACCAAAAGGCCGGCCACCAGTTCGGCTTGGGCATAACTGTCCTTTTAGGGGAAATAGATGGCCCTGGTAGATGAGAAAAGACCATCAGGTAAAAACCAGTGCCCTCCATTCTTCGAGCAGAACAACCAAACAGGACACCTATGCTTGCTGGTGCTCAGGGTATAAGAAGTGGAATGAACCTAGGGATTCCCTTTGAAGGAAACCACCAATCACCAGTTGGATGGCTTGAAGGACACCTCTGGGCTTGGGCTTCTCCCCTCACGTTTCTTTCCTCGCCCCGGTTCTCGACGGCTCGGGTCGCTCACCTGGCACTCCACGGCGCTGGGCCACAGCGGCCGCAGCCACGCGCCCAGCTCCTTCCGCTCCACGAACTGGGCGTGCGCCGTCTGGTCCGCGAGGATGGGAGTGATCACAGGGCCTCGGAGGAAATACGCGGCGGGGGCCCCAAAAAAGAACGGAAGAAACGAGGAAGAAAAAACAAAAACGGAAGAAACTGCGCCAATCTGGAAGGCAAAACCTTGCCTTGGGCGAGCGGCAAATCACCACCGGCACTCCTTCCCGAAGGGAGCGAAACACGGTGCCCGCGCCGCCATGGCACACCACCACGCTGGCTTGCGGAAGGAGCCAGTCAAAGGGCGCGTACTTCACCTGGCTGTCAAAAATAGGCACCCAAAATGGAACCTTAATGGAAACATGGACTAAAACCTGCGGTCTGGAGTCCGATTCCTGGTTTAATTTTACCCACACCCACCTCGCACACCCCGTCTTGGACGGGCGCCTCGGCGTCCTTGGAATTGGCCGTGAAGCTGTAGGCGACGCGCTCCTTCCCCGCGCTCTCGTGGCACCAGACCACGTTCAGCCCCATGCGCTGCGCGGCCTCGAGCACGGCGAGCTCCACTCGCTGGACGCCCAGCATGGATCCAAAGGACAGCACCACGGGTTTCCGGCCCTGGCTGTCTCTCAGCTGCATGAACCTCTCCAGCGCCGGCAAAGGCGTCCAATCTTTCAGGTGGGGAACGAAAAGGCAGCCTGTCACCAGGAACTGCTCTGGAAAATCCGGAGGCCGCGCCTGCAAACTCTCGCTCCAGAAGCCCAATTCTGGGAGCTTCGCAAGAGTTGAAAACGGGCCCAGGCCTTGCGAGTGGTCGATGCCCTCGATTTCCAGCATGCGACTCAGCTCTCTCTTGAAGTATGAGGCCCCCGCCAGGAGAGGCAGCAACTTGAAGAAAAGAAAATGGTAGTGTTTGAGCTTGTTCACGAAACCATTCGACATCTCATAGCCTCCCGGGGGATAGGCAGAAGTTGGAGGCGATGAGAAGCCAAAGGAGAAAGTGCTGCGGATGATCTTCAGGTGGGGGCACTTCTTCAACAGCCGCACACATGCGAGGCCAGTGATAGCCGTGCCCAAAATCACGTCAAAGTGCTCCTTCTCCATCAAGTTGCATATTCCCTGGAGCGTGGCTGGCAAGCATTCATCGAGATTCCAGCTCATGCCACGGCGGCTCTCTACCTTTAAGAACTCGTTGGAATCCATGGAACGGCGAATAATCTGCACTTCCTCCTCAGACATGTGGGCGGTGTCGTCTCGCCACTTGAAGGGAACCTGGCTCACCGTGATGCACCGCACGCCGTACGCACGGATGGACTCCTCGACGCCCGCGCACACCGCCATGGCCGCCTTGTGACCGCGGGCCTCTAAGGCCTGGCAAACGGCCACACCGGGCATGACGTCCCCCCGCGTTCCAACGAAGTACACCAGCACATTGAGCTGCTTCTTCGCCTCCATGGCAGCACTTGGCCTTGAGCAAATGCCCTCGTTGCAACGATTCGGATCCGCCGTTGATGCACGAAAAGCCAGCAAAAGCCACCAAACAATCTTGGATCTTGGTTTCAGGCCCAAGTTCCGAGTTTGGGGCTCCTGAATCCCGGAAGGTATCCGTATACGTGGCAAACATATGGCCATGGGTCCAAACCCCGTACCCCCGCTGAACATCCCAATCTCCACCAAAATAGACCAAAATGGGTCGTGCACCCATCCCAAAACGGCATCCCATTGGTTTTGACCCACAGCCATATGCCTTCTGCTTACACGAAAATTCTGCTTTGGGCTTATGAAAAGCCGCAATCCTTGCGCCGGCCTGAAAGCGCTGCCGCCATTGCCGCAGCCCTAGCGCCTGTGCGCTGCAATGCGAAGCCTGACCGACTCCACCAGTTCCTCAAACAAACCCAAAAATATGGTTCCTCAAAAAGAATGGTTCCTCAAAAACTAGTTCCCAAAAAGATGGTTGGGGTTTCCTTTGGCTTTCCCTTGGTAAATACCAAGCACAACGGTGGCGGTGCCCACGCAAACTCCGAGAGGCACATGCTGTGTGCGTGTTGCAAGCCTTGGTGTGGCACGTACAAGCCGGGCTGGCATGCTCCTCCAAAGATATGCTGACCATTTTTCTTGAACAAGAACTGCTGCTTGAAAGGACCACGATTGGAGGGTCACAATGAACATTTGGTGGTTTTTTATTGTCTGAGCATGGTGAAGAACAAGCTGGCACAAACAAATAACAAATGACAGTGCACCGGTTGATACAGATCCAAATCAAATATGAAGAATCAAAAAAGTCCATCATGCGCTGTCAACCCCTGTAGATGTTGTGCTTCGGGAAGGTTCGATTCAACTGTAAAACTAAACATGTTCCGATAGCTCGAAGCTGCCAAAAGGGACCAAGATTGGGCGTTCATCTCTGAAGCCCCTGGAGCGCAGGGGAGTAAGTATGAGCCGAGCAGTCGGCGCTTCTTTTCTAGCTTCCCTTCATCACGAGGATGCCAGCAGGAAGCGCTGGAACAAACCCAGATTCGCGAGCTTAAGACATGTCAATATGAGTAATCTGGCTGGAATCTCACACACACCACAGAGCTCTTCAGCTATTAGCAGGGCTACAACCGCAAGCGAAGAACCAACAGTGGCTACTCCGCTGACTCACGGCTATCAAGAGAACCCCCTTTCACTTGCCCGTCGGCTCCTGCTCCCAGCGATGCTGCCGAAGCTCCCAGCTGGACAGCGGAGGGGAGGGGAGCGGAGCGAAGCGGAGGG